TCTCTCTGTCTCTCTCTCTCTCTCTCTCTCTCTCTCTCTCTCTCTCTCTCTCTCTCTCTCTCTCTCTCCCGCAGGTCAAAAGGGAGGATTTAGCCAAATGACCCGCGGGGTTAACTCTAGGGAGGTGGAAGCTGCCGAAACTTTCTCCTTGCCGCAGACACGCCCTCTGGTTTTTTGTCTGCTGCTGTGTATATTAAGGAGCGGGAAGGAACGACAAGGAGCAGGAGGGTAGGCAAGGAGGGGTAAAAGGGTGAAAGGAACTCCTCTCCTCTATGGCAGTGTCTTAGTAACAGTGAAGAAGGAAGTAGGAAGTACTTTCGTATCAGTGAATTGGGAATTATCTTAGTAACATTGAAGGAGGAAATTCCTTATTTCTTAGGGAAGTACACATACACACTTAGGGTGAGTACACACACACATACACACATACACACTTAGGGTGAGTACACACACACACACACACATACACACTTAGGGTGAGTACACACACACATACACACTTAGGGTGAGTACACACACACACACACACATACACACTTAGGGTGAGTACACACACACACACACACATACACACTTAGGGTGAGTACACACACACACACACACATACACACTTAGGGTGAGTACACACACACACACACATACACACTTAGGGTGAGTACACACACACACACACACATACACACTTAGGGTGAGTACACACACACACACACACACATACACACTTAGGGTGAGTACACACACACACACACATACACACTTAGGGTGAGTACACACACACACACACACATACACACTTAGGGTGAGTACACACACACACACACACATACACACTTAAGGTGAGTACACACACACACACACACACATACACACACACTTTCTTTAGTAAACATATATTTTTTCTGTTAGGATCCAAAAACGTGAATTGTAGGAAAGTTACTGATTGGTTTTTGTTTTGTTAAAGGTTTCATAGGATTTGTTATAAATTTGAATCGACACAGCTTTCATCTCACACTCATAACTCCACCTTTTGACAAACAGGTGAATGCACACAAGGGGAACAGTCCCTTATAGATTGTGAAGGGCCTCTCTCTCTCTCTCTCTCTCTCTCTCTCTCTCTCTCTCTCTCTCTCTCTCTCTCTCTCTCTCTCTCTCTCTCTCTCTCTCTCTGTCTCTCTCTCTCTCTCTCTCCCTCCCTCCCTCCCATCGCCTGGAACCCCACACACGTCTACCATCGACGTGTCCTGGACTTCCAGGCAGCCCCCCTGGATGCCACCTGTGTACTGGAAGGCCTTGTAGCATGCTGGCGGCCGCTCGAACTATTGCACTCCCATGGGCCGCTCTCTTTCATTTGTTGAGTGTTGGTACGCTGGACACGACCGTCCAATCTGCGGGGAGCTCCGTCATCTGTCACTCTTAACTTCTTAAAGGTTTTGTATGCAAATCACTTACACTCCTCCTAAGTGGGCCGCTAGTTCGTACAAACTGGATTGTTGGCAACAGTTTGTGTCTTCAGTACAATTGGTGGAGTTTTTTTTTCGGCTCATCAAGGGAGCCGGTCGGCCGAGCGGACAGCACGCTGGACTTGTGATCCTGTGGTCCCGGGTTCAATCCCGGACGCCGGCGAGAAACAATGGGCAGTTTCTTTCACCCTATGCCCCTGTTACCTAGCAGTAAATAGGTACCTGGGTGTTAGTCAGCTGTCACGGGCTGCTTCCTGGGGGTGGAGGCCTGGTCGAGGACTGGGCCGCGGGGACACTAAAGCCCCGAAATCATCTCAAGATAACCTCAAGATAAGATGGTTCAGTGGGTAGTGCGTGCGTCTGATGCGTCTACGGACTCAAGTTCGATGCCACTATATTGCCTCAATATTTTATCATAGTGAATGTTAATTTATCACTTTCTGTTTTCTTATAAATTTCTTTTTTTCTTTTCCTATCATTATTTCTTTTTCGATTTTCCTATCACTATTTATTCCGGAGCTTTATAAAGAAAATGTAAGTCTTGTAACCATAGAGAAGAAACTAAGGGGGAATTGATTCCTACATACAAGATGCTAAACGACATATAAAAGGGAGACAAGGACCGATTCTTTAAAATGAGAGAAAGTTGGACAAGAGGACATGAGAGAATCTCGAGATGCTTCCAAAGGAAACCTGATCAACCAGACTTTGACTCATACGTCAGGTTGAGGGCATCTATGTCTAACAGCCTGATTGAGTAGTTCACCAACCAGGAGGCCTAGTCACAGTCACGGGCCAAGTTATCACAGGTCGATAACCTGTGATAACTGGGTTATCGACCCAAGAGTAGAAGAACTCTCGAATCCCTCTCCAGGTACGTTCCAGGTATGCGGTGACACTGATTCCCTTTTATGCAACAGGTAGGCAGCAGCTACTTACACCCACCCAAAATCAATCATATACACGTATAAAACCATCGCTCCCACATATATGAAATGTCCCGGTAATTGGTTCAATAAATCAACCATTATTTCCGAACCAGTATTTACCCAGGGATAATCTGGAACAATTTAGACGCACCAGACAATTTTCCCTTGACACTACACAGTCGTGGAATGACCACCAACTTTGTACAGCCTCGCATGAAACTCCAGACCCTCAACGACCGTCCAAAAGTTAACGACCCGTCAATTTTGGGCACTTTAGTAACATTACATTTTTCGTGACTAAATATCTATTTGATTAAATATCTATTTATTCAAATTCCTGTTCTTAAGGACCACGTAGAAGGCGTGCCACGTCCTTGAATGATTGAGTAATTAATCATGTATACAACTTCATTATACATTATTAATCACTTTCTAAAAGCGTTTGGCTTCCTGAATATTACGTGAAAAACTCACGACTCTTGAATGAACAAAGAATTAATTGGTGTTTGCTTTTTCCTAACATCAGGTGGAAGAAGATGCTGAAGCATGTGTGCGCTCAGAGGTCGACCTCATCCTTGGCCCGTACCTCAAGCACCAGCCTCCGGCGGCAAGGTGAGACATTCTGTTCATCTCAGAAGGTCATGAGGATGAAGTCACATGAGGATGAAGACTTCGTCAGGTCTCCTGAATGTCACAGAAGAAGTCACAGTTCCTCCGAGTCTTACTCCAGTAGCATCAATGACTTCTCAGCGTCCTCAAGGAGTGAGAGCATCAACGGATCCTCAGAGACTTCAAGTAACGACAGCATTAACATTTTCTTGGAGTCCTTCTCAAGTAGCGGCGATACTGACGCCTCCCTCGAGTCTTTGAAGCAAGTCAGTGATCAGGACTCAGGCGATGATGTCTTGAGTTCACCAGAGATGTCGAAGAAGGACCTGACTCGACCATCGACTCTTCCTCGCCGCGGGGGCCACAAGATCCTCCAAGGATCAGTCTGCTCCACGGATCAGGTCCTTCGCAAGTCTTACAGACCGGCAGATTCCTGCAGCCTCCACTCCACCTACAGCTTCTCCTCCTTGGCCACCAGCAAGCTGAGCTCCAGGTCCTCCTCGACCACTTCCCTGGGAGACCAGACAATGGTAAGATTCCCTACGGTATTCCCCACAAAAACAACAAGAAAAACAAACACACACACTTGTAATATAGACAAAAACAAACAAGTCTTATTAGCACAAAGTCAGCAAACAAACAAATACACACGAGATAACACAGTCTCCCCTAACTGATCTATCCTTCATAAAATCAACAGAAAACGAGATTTAATTCTAACAGTGGCGAAGGTAAGTGAATCATTTAATTAGTATACAAAGTCTGATTTAATGTGCACAACTTGTAGCTTAACTCAGCAACAAGAAAGCTTTAGCTGGGCTGACAGCAGCAGCAGTAAGCTGACGTTCGACGCCTCAGCGTTCCTCTCCAGTGTTCATGTCGACGTTAATGAACGAAATTATTTGCAAAAATTATACCAATTACCTGTGATTGATGGTAATTATCTGGGCTTGAAAAACCGCGTGATTTTCTTGTGCTTTCGCGGGACTGTTGTTTGAAACTCTGCACCCACTTGCAAGCCTGTACATTCCTGCAGGTCTGTACCCACCTGCAAGCCTGCACCCACCTACAAACCTACACCCACCTACAAACCTACACCCATCTACAAGCCTGCACCCACCTACAAACCTACACCCACCTACAAGCCTGCACCCACCTACAAACCTACACCCACCTACAAACCTACACCCACCTGCAAGCCTGCACCCATCTACAAGCCTGCACCCACCTACAAACCTACACCCACCTACAAACCTACACCCACCTACAAACCTACACCCACCTACAAACCTACACCCATCTACAAACCTACACCCACCTACAAACTTACACCCACCTACAAACCTACACCCACCTACAAACCTACACCCACCTACAAACCTACACCCACCTACAAACCTATACCCACCTACAAACCTACACCCACCTACAAACCTACACCCACCTACAAACCTACACCCACCTACAAACCTACACCCACCTACAAACCTACACCCACCTACAAACCTACACCCACCTACAAACCTACACCCACCTACAAACCTACACCCACCTACACCCACCTACAAACCTACACCCACCTACACCCACCTACAAACCTACACCCACCTACAAACCTACACCCACCTACAAGCCTACACCCACCTACAAGCACATGTCACACCTCACAACAGTTAACAAGTAATCAGACAGGCATCTTGGCATTTCCTCAGGCCTTTCAGACCATGGCAGTATCTCAAGAAATGGCTTAACCTTTACAGACGGCTCTGAGTCGACGCCCTCAGGCGACATTTATTTTATTCCGCTCCTTAAAAAAAAAATGTCTTCTGGTATAACTCTCAGGTCTTTTGTGTTTTCTTTATCTCTCAACTGAGCTGTTTTTTTTACGCGGTTCCTGTTTTAATTTCTTCGTTCTGAAGGTCTATTATCCTTGATTCCTAATTTTATCTACCTGTGGCAAGTAGATACAAGGAGGGTAGACACAAAGTAGAACCATGATTAACATGGGTTTGGAGGTTTGTTGCTATATATATATATATATATATATATATATATATATATATATATATATATATATATATATATATATATATATATAAACAGTTATGTTACATATAGTTTGGCCATGAGAGGAAATTCTTAACAGAAGAATCATAGTTCAGTTCGAGAATGTTGATCTGAGTCTAGTGGTGGTGGTGGTGGTGGTGGTGATGGTGGTGATGGTGGTGATGGTGGTGATGGTGGTAGTGATGTTGGGGGTGGTGGTGGTGATGGTGGGGGGTGGTGGTAGTGATGGTGGTAGTGATGGTGGTGATGGTGGTAGTGATGGTGGTGATGGTGGTAGTGATGGTGATGTGGTGGTAGTGATGGTGTTGGTGGTGATGGTGGATGTAAGGCTACCAGGTAGTACCCAACCTGTTCTGGTGACGGTGGCCTTATCCATCAGGGGGGGGGGAGGGTTGGGGATAGGGTGGGGGGGGTTATCACTCCGGTTGAGTAGTTAGGTAACCTTCCTCAAGAATGTTCCGCAGGCACAATCACCGTTCTATGGTCTTAGTCATCATTTAAATAAGACCTTTCACGACTCATTCATCATGCTACACACCACAATCTGCTTGTTCTCACCATCTGAAAACCGTGAAATTTGAAGAGCATTTGACCTAACTAGTATATACGAACCTAACACCTCTGTAACCTAGATCCACGAAAGCATCTATGAATACCTATTTCTTAAGGATACAGTTCCAGTATTTCAATATATATATATATATATATATATATATATATATATATATATATATATATAATATATATATATATATATATATATATATATATATATATATCAATTAATATTGTAATCTACATGTGTGTTTTCAATATATATCTTGCCATATAAGCTTGATATACACAGCTTACACAAATACATACACACACACACACACACACACACACACACACACACACACACACACACACACACACACACACACACACACACACACACAGCTTGATATTACACAGCGTGTGAGCTATACACTATTCAGTCCGCACTCTCTCACACTGACCAGTCTCTCACACTGACCAGAGTGAGGAGAGCGTGACACGGGCCAGCAGGTGGGCGGATGTGGGCCCTCACCTGGCATTAGGTGGGCGGGGCATATGTGTGTGTGTGTGGTGAGGCGCTGGTGGGTGACTGGGTGGAGGACAGGTGAGTATGTGGGTGAAGAGGGTGTGGCTAGGAGATGGGGGGAGGGGTGGTGATGTGACAACTGTGACAGGTGACAACTGTGACAGGTGACAACTGTGACAGGTGACAACTGTGACAGGTGGCAACTGTGACAGGTGACAACTGTGACAGGTGGCAACTGTGACAGGTGGCAACTGTGACAGGTGACAACTGTCACAGGTGACAACTGTGACAGGTGACAACTGTGACAGGTGGCAACTGTGACAGGTGGCAACTGTGACAGGTGACAACTGTCACAGGTGACAACTGTGACAGGTGACAACTGTCACAGATGACAACCCTGACAGGTGAAAACTGTGACAGATGACAACTGTGACAGGTGGCAACTGTGACAGGTGACAACTGTGACAGGTGGCAACTGTGACAGGTGGCAACTGTGACAGGTGGCAACTGTGACAGGTGACAACTGTGACAGGTGGCAACTGTGACAGGTGACAACTGTCACAGGTGACAACTGTGGCAGGTGACAACTGTGACAGGTGACAACCCTGACAGGTGACAACTGTGACAGATGACAACCCTGACAGGTGAAAACTGTGACAGGTGACAACCCTGACAGGTGACAACTGTGACAGATAACAACTGTGACAGGTGACAACTGTGACAGATGACAACCCTGACAGATGACAACCCTGACAGGTGACAACTGTGACAGGTGAAAACTGTGACAGGTGACAACCCAGACAGGTGACAACTGTGACAGATAACAACTGTGACAGGTGACAACTGTGACAGATAACAACCCTGACAGGTGACAACCCTGACAGGTGACAACCCTGACAGGTGACAACTGTGACAGATGACAACCCTGACAGGTGAAAACTCTGACAGGTGACAACCCAGACAGGTGACAACTGTGACAGATAACAACTGTGACAGGTGACAACTGTGACAGATAACAACTGTGACAGGTGACAACTGTGACAGATGACAACCCTGACAGGTGACAACTGTGACAGGTGACAACCCTGACAGGTGACAACTGTGACAGATGACAACCCTGACAGATGACAACCCTGACAGGTAACAACCCTGAAAGGTGACAACCGTGACAGGTGACAACCCTGACAGGTGACAACCCTGACAGGTAACAACCCTGACAGGTAACAACCCTGACAGGTGACAACTGTGACAGGTGACAACCCTGACAGGTGACTGTCAACACCAAGCCACAGATATTACAAAGATAAAATATACACCCAACAGTTAATGTCTACATTATACAACAGTGATTTTGTATAATACAAGAGACCAATTTTTCCGTATATTGCAATTAAAAAAAAAGCAGATGTATGCGTTAAATAGCTCCTAAGCACACTAATACGCAGATATATGCGTATGTAATGCCGAAATATGTAATACGTATATGTAATGCATGCCGATATATGTAATAAATACATATTTTTTCTAATTAACCAAATTAGCTGACGGCTTTCGGTGCTTTAGCGAGAGCATTTGTTAAACAGCTACGGGCTCACCATAGGCCGTGCTACTTAGAACTTTGTTCCAGGTAGCGAATCTTTAACAGCACAACAACCTCCATCAGGGTACTTTAACAGCCGCCTGGCGACTCATGAACCGGTATGCATGATGCGGCGTCTAACAGCCTGCTTGACCAGACCCCGAACGACGAAGACTAGCTTGAAACCGGGCCGCGGGGGACATTGATCCTCGTAATCACCTAAAGGTAATCCTGTTGTTGAAGCCTCTTTATCTGTCCTCCCTTTCCTCTCCGGTTCACTTCTATAAATCCCTTTTTCAGAACTACCTTTTCTTTCCCTTCTGTTTCTGTCTCTCTCTTCTCTCCCTACCACCTGTCCCCCCACTTTCTTTTTCCCATACCCCCTCCCCCCTTCTTTCCACCCCCTCCCCCTTTCTTCCCACACCCTTCCCCCTTCATCCCACCCCCTCCCCCCTTTCTTCCCACACCCTCCCCCCTTTCTTCCCACACCCTCCCCCCTTTCTTCCCACCCCTCCCCCCTTCTTTCCACCCCCTCCCCCTTTCTTCCCACACCCTTCCCCCTTCATCCCACCCCCTCTCCCCTTTCTTCCCACACCCTCCCCCCTTTCTTCCCACACCCTCCCCCCTTTCTTCCCACCCCTCCCCCCTTCTTTCCACCCCCTCCCCCTTTCTTCCCACCCCCTCCCCCCTTCATCCCACCCCCTCCCCCCTTCTTCCCACCCCCTCCCCCGTTCTTCCCACCCCTCCCCCCTTCTTCCCACCCCCCTTCCCCTTTTATATAAATCTTAAATCCATTTTAAAATCTATCCATCTTCCCA